TTGTACAATATACGTGAATACGTGATAGTATATAGTGTATACTTACGTAATAGTGTGGTGATCTACTGATTTAATAACCCCCACCTTTACATGTAAAAAAAATCCAACAATGGATTTCCACTTCCCTCAAGAACAATGTCCGAAATTTTGTACATTTTATTTTTAAAATATTATATGTATTTTTTCTAATATTAAATGTAATAATATAACTATGCAATACCCGATTAGTAAGAATTTAAGGAAGTTTGGCAAATAAGGTTATCAGCTATAAACAACAATACTCAACACTCTATTTCGTATCTATTCTTTGGATAGTTATCAATTCTTAAAACATTCTACATTGCCACAAATACACTATATGTATATATGTGTGTGTGTGTGTGTGTGTACAGCTGTGTGTGTGTGTGTGTGTGTGTGTGTGTGTGTGTGTGTGTGTGTGTGTGTACAGCCATAATATTTTATGAATGATCACAAGATTTATATATAATTACTAATTAGAGTTGAAAAGAAAGTGAAAACTACTCAAAAAAAAAATTTTAATTAAATTATATATTATAGTTTATACCTTGAAAATTGCATTATATTGTTATGTTTTTGAGAATATTTTCAAATTTGAACTATCAGCTATTATTGGTAAGAAATGTTTTGTACGTTGAGAATGAACGTTCTACATCGACGGATGTGATAGTGGCGAACTTGAAGTATGGAACATCACTATTAGAAATATAATCTGGACACTACCGTATTCAAATCTTCAATGTATTTTTACCAAAAAAATGCAAGACATTTTTTAAAAAGTTATGGACCAGTATTATTTTCTAAAACTTGTTTTAATTGTAACCGTATTTTCAATCCAATTTTACCGAGTTTCAAATGATTTTTCTACATCGTTAATTATTTCAATATAGTCAGATAATAAAAAACCCTGTGTTTGTAATTAAAGTTGTGTTAGTAAGAGACAAAAAATATGATTTGATGAAAATAAGATCTATGCCTACTCCGGTCATATTGTTATATTTGTTTGCTTGTTTGATGCTGACTGCATCGTCATTGTCACATTGCAATTGTTCTATTTCAAAAATAGAACGAATTGTGCTTAAATGATCGCAGTAATAATTCGCTGCATTGATCCAGGTACCCCAACGGGTAATTACAGGCTCTAGAAGTAAACTTATTTCAGGGTCATTGGATTTGAAAAGTTCAACGCGACTCGGAGCTTTTCGGAAAGTCTTTTTTACGCTAGGTATGACATTATCGACTGATTTAAACTGACTTCTTTTGCCACTCGATGTAGGCTATAATCATAAATCTTTGTTAAGAGATGATTTTTTACTTGAATTCGTAAGAAGTTGTTGTGTTTATTCTGTTTTTTTCCAGTCACCGTTTAATTGCTTTGGTATGTTTTTTCTGTTTTCAAATGCTATGTTAAGATGAATGTTTTTTCACAACTAATTTATATTTCGTAGTATTTACAAAAAAAAAAAACATTGACAACATATGAAAACGTGTCCTCACCAAATTTACGTACATCGCTTCTTAAACGTTGAACTAACGATATTTTTTCTTCAGGCATGATTTAAAAATGTTGTTAAAAATCGAGTAGCAAAAGATAAAGCACAAGTTAAAATAACACTTACGGTTACACGAACGCATACGATCTCAATCACTACCTTGTCAACTAATAAGGACTTTACACTACATATTCTTCAAATAAACAATTCAAATATGAGATTCAATTAACATGATATCTAAAATATTACTCGAATATTTTTGTCTATAGGTAGACATTAAAATATAAATCACTCGGGGAGTGGCGGCTTGGTGTCGATAAACTTGTATTCTATTTACGGCGTAAACCTTGCTTTTGCAAAATGATAATTTAAAGCAACCCTTGCCGCTCACTAAGTACACACCATACAACTACTTAATGTTTTTCAGATTACAAATTATATGCAAAAACCATCATAACACTTATAAAAATTGCAGAAAAATTGCAAAACCCTAAAATATGCAAAAATATGCACTAAAAACTTTTAAGGCTGCATTCCTCTTAGTATGTAACGGATTTGTAGCTTACACAGCTATATTTTAACACGCTGTAAATCAATATGTAAATGCTAGAAGTCCCGAGCCCTGATTATAAGTATTTAAATATTACACTATAAATAACTAGCAATATATACTTACAGAACTTAGCCACTACGCTATCATAAGTATCAAGTGCGCTCTGTTGATATGCTATAAAAAGATTAGTTTAATTAATATTTTTTAGTACAATTCAATGTTCACGAGCCTTTTTGGTATGGGAATAAATTCAACATATGTGGATAATAGCTTATATTAGGCACGGGGACAAAGTGAATCTGCACCATAAATAGGGAACGACAAATCAATCATTTGTGCATCAATAGTATGTGGAAACTCTTATAAAGCCTGCACTAGGTACCAACTAGACACTAATTGTTTTTTGGCCTTCTGTAATATGTGATCAAAAGCTCTGAGCCATACATCACCAGATAATACTGTTTCTAATCACTAAAATATTGAGTTTTATAAAAAAAGTTATTAAAAAAAAAATGAGTGCGTGTTTATTATTTAAGAAAATGAACTTACCTTCTAATCCAACTATGAGGTTGTTTTCAAACATTTGCTCTATAAATGTTTAAATCATAAATAAAATAAGTAATGACAGTGAATATTTACCTATATATATTTTTTTTTTCTGGACGTATGAATTTATATAAACTCTTGCTAAACGACTGGACCGATGATGATGACATTTTTGTGTGTTTCTGTTAGTCCCCAGATGGTTCAAATAAACGATTGGCCCCTTTAGCAACCAGGAAAGTTTTTTAAACAGAGATTTTGATATTTACGATAGAAATTGTTCGTTTATAAACGGTAACTATTGGTTCCAGCTTACAGATTATTATAGTCATAATAATTAGGTATAGTAGAAGTAAGTATTTTTTATTTTTATTAATGGTTGTCATTATTGACTGTTGCAGTGCTGTAAAAGCACTCATCAAACCTTCGCGTCACAACTTTTTGAAATAAATATGAGTGGTGTTAATCTATTTTATCGATATTTTCAACGTTTAAAATTACTTTTTTAGATATCAGGAAATTTTTTTGACTTTTCTAATAATTTGCATGAATTTGCACTGCATTCAAAAATCTTTAGGTCTATATTGTAGTTAAACGTGATGGTAATAATGCACCATATGTTGATAGCATATGCTTGTAAAGTAAACAATAAATTGGCTGCTTTTTTTTGAAAAATACATTATATTTATTCTTGTCGTACATAGTGTTATATGCCCACCACTATAGAGACTATAGAGACGCTTGTTTTACA